GTGCTGCACAGGAACTTTTGCCAGTGTGCATCCAATTCTTCGAGAAGCTGGCCGACGCAGTGATCCCAGATCCGCCTCGCACTCGTGAGATGATCATGCAAGGCATGGGGCACAGGCTCATTTTCATGAATGAGGTGTCAAAGGGAGGGCAGGCAGATCTCAGTGAGGAAATCTTCGTCTGCTGGGGGGGGCGACCCAGAGGGAGCTTGGCAGGAAGAGGATGATCAGCTGCCAGTGAGCGCCGAATTTTCGTGACAGGTCAAGTGAATCGTGACTTTTGTACATGTGAGGTTCGTTTTCAGAAATCGTGGCAGGTGCAGTCCTTTTGGGACCTTGAAGTGCAGATTTCGGGGCAGGTGTTGTACTTTGTGGACCTTGAAGTGCAGATTTCGTGCCAGGTGCAGTGCTTGGTGGACCTTGAACTTCGTGCCAGGCACAGCACTTTGTGAGCCTCGAGTTGCAGGTTTCGTGACAGGCGCCGCACTTTGTGAACCTCAAGGCGCGGATTTCATGGCAGGCGCAGCACCCTGTGAGCCTCGAAGTGCACGCTCACTAGCTCGCTCGCTCGCTCCCTCCCTATGCTCCCTCACTCACTCACTCACTCACTCACTGGGTTTGCTGGATATCATATGTGGTGATCTATGCCAGGATGACCTGGCCCACGCAGAACTTCCCAAAGAAGTCCAACGACGCTGCACAAGACAGCAGCTAGTGGATTTTGAGGCTCTTCGCGTGGTCCTACTACAAGGAGTTGAGCAAGAAGATCAGGCTTTTCAAACTGTTTGCTTCTTCCGGTCCATGGTCGACGTCCTAAGTGATGTTGACCCATTGTGGTCCCAGACTGTCTCACTTCCTGACCTTCAGTTAGCACTGACGAATCTTGGTCAGATCAGGAAACTTTCTGATCCTATCAAGGTCTTCAAAAGCATCACGGCTTGGCCCATGGCTAAGTTCCTCGGGAATGAACTTCCTGCAGAGCCGGGATGTCTTGTTGGAGACGTTAGTGGCTGGCTTTCTGGCGCCAACCCTCTCGGGGTACCAGGACGGTGGCTACATGGTCTTCAAGCCGTTCAACGACGTGTTGGGGGTGGTCGTGAATTGCCAATGCCTTGAGAAGGGCAGCAAACTCACCGAGGAGACGTCGTACAAAAGCCTGTGGGTCGTGCCCAGCAACCCGAACCACATCCTGAATCCGAAGACCAAGCACTTCACTTCAAAAAAAACGCTGGTGATGCGGAGAAAACCGAAGCAGATTCTTAAGAATCATGTTGTTCAGAGACAGAATCGGAAGTCGGTGAATTTTTTTTTTGGAGTTTACTCCAGGGTGTTAAACGCAGTCTTCCTCCTGTCCTGACAGTTTCATCGCAGACTCCATCGCCAAGCCTAAATAATGATTGACTCAGGAAATCCCTGAATTGTCTGCTAATCTGGTCGAGGAGTACGAAGCTGCTGCCTTTGATGATCTGTTTCGTCCGAAAACTCTCTTCATGGAGTTCGTGAAACACGCAAAGTTTCTGAATCTTTCGAAACCCTGGCTGGAATGCCAGCACCTCCCATACTCGCAGCCAAAGTGGTAAGACTGCAACTATTCGTCAACTCCTTATGGAGCACCTTCGAAGTAAGCTACTCTCGTGATTTGACTGTCATGACAGAAATCAGTCCTGGAGTGGTAATCCACACCACCTGCTACCTTGGAGAGTTAGTTAAGACAACGACAATAAACCTGGCAGATATATACTGCATATATATATATATATTATATGTTATATTGTATTATGTTATATATATTATATTGAAGTAATTTATTCTCTTTCAGAAGCTCACGCCGAACAGTGGGCCGGCATGGGGGCCCAGGACGAGGTGGTAGAGGCAGTCAGCTGAGAGTGGCTGGTGGAGCTCGAGTGTGGCGTGTGATGCTGTGGCTGTGGCAGTGCAGCGGTGGTTGCTGCTGTGAGGGCGTACTGTGAGTGTTGTGGCTGTTTCAGAGTGAGAAGGAGTTGAACATATCTGGACAATATTTGATGTGATTTTAGTCTAGTGGGTTGGGTGCTAGAAACTTGGTCACGCCCCAACACCCTTCCTTGATGGAGGCTTGGCATGGGGATTGTTTTGGTTTCTTTGGTGTTGGTGGCACCTTGTACGCTTGATTTCATGGAGGCTAGGCTTGAGTGGGTTTGTGTGAGAAGGGGAGGAGAATGGTGCAATTTGACATGAGAGGTTTACCAATTGGATAGGTGAGTGAGAAGGACTTGAAAACATCTGAAAATACTTGGTGTGATGTGATTTCAGTGGTGGTTTTGGTGCTAGAAACTTGGTTGCACCCTTGCCACCCAAGATCGCCCCAAGATCGGATGATCCAAAAGGTTGACATGTTGCATAGTTGGAAGATCCAGGAACAGAAATTTAGTCCTCTAGATTTATCTTGCCGCGTTTGATATTGATCCGATTTTTCCTGGCATATTAGACCACTAAAGGAATGGTTGACCTGGTGGTATAGTGTAAACATACTTCGCAAAGCAGCTGGTTCTTTGGGATTCAGACCAGAAAAAACAGTTGATTCTTCGATTCTCCTGGTGCATCCAACCGTCTTCCATCTCTCCTGGTTCATCGACGCGCTGACAGGGCGGATCTCCGACAGACGCCCGGGGAACTGGAAGGGAAACCCTTTCAGTCGCTCGGCAGAGCCCAGGGCCTGGTGGGGTCGGTGCAGGGTGCCAAGGCGGTCTGGTTTGGTGTGGACAGGACTTGCTATCTTAGTTCATAAGAAAATGGTCTGGACATGATATAGCCTAGGGCTCCTGGCATACCTCCTCAGAGGGTATGACTGGACCCTCCTGGCACCCACCCCCAGTCCCACCTTCTCAGAAGGTACGACTGGAGCCCTAGGAATCGCTTGAGCCCGACGTTCAGTGTTTGGAACTGAAACCCTTGGCCGCCGGGTTGGCTGCCGGATGATTCAATGCCGGGTCAGCCGGCCATGGTCGTTGCTCAGCCATGGGTGCCTTCGGCTTGGTGACTGAAAAGCTGCAACAGCCGAGCATTTGCATCCGCACGGGGTAACTACTGTCCCTGGCGATCCAGTCATCCCTTCTCAGGTTCGGTACGACTGGACCCTCCAAGGCCACCTACATCACAGTGTCGTTTTCCATCACCGTACCTGAGAAGCTCACGCATCGTTCGGGTGTCCTTGCTCACCGGACGTTCACCAGACATCCGTCGTTGGGACTCGTCCCGTCGAGTCCCCAGAGCGGAAGGTCTTTTCTCGGATGGTCCGATGAGAGCCCCAAATCCTACGAGCTCCGATGGATTGGGGTTAGAATTAAGAGTTCAGAAGCCTGCAGGTGAAGAGTATGAGCCTGCAGAGGTTATGAACTCATAAGGTTAGAGACTGTAGTTGCTCATGTTCGCTTCGTGACCTTCCCCCTTCAGTGAATGGAGCAGCATGGAGCAGCAGCTTGGCGCCGCCTCTCGCCCGCAGATCCGGCAGGTTCACCTCCCCCGTTCTGCCGCTCTGCCCGGGCGAGGTCCTACATCTTTTTGGCCAGTTCCATGGAAGCCCCCTCGCCGCCCTTCGTGGTGCGCAAGCTTCGGATCCTGCGCGTGCGGACACTCGGGGTGACGGACGTTGAGGGCGAAGACGGCCTTTTGGAAACATATTACCAACCCGGTTGGCCGCTGGCGGGAATATGTTGAAACATCTTCCATGATCTTCCATGACTTAAGTCAAGTCGCCAAAAGGGTGCGGACCTCATTCTTTCTTTCAGGTGTTGTTTCACCAGGGTCGGGTCAAGCGAGCGGCCTTGATGGGATGTTTCCGAAATCTGGTCAACAGGGAGTGCCACTTTCGTGGTGGGTCAGGTTTGGTATAGGGAATCCACTTTTTGTTGGACTTCGGTTTTGGGGTCGGGGACTTGGCAATTTTTTTGCAAGTGGTTTGACCTCCCAGAGACTCCGAAGGTGATGAGTGATGATGCTTCTTAGCAAATCTACACCCGAATGGATTCAAGTCGCTCAGAATTGATTTTAGGGCTCCAACTACCTCCAGAGAAGGTGGTTAGGGTGTGTTTGGCGGGTCTGACCACCTGAGGATCAGGTTGGAGCCCTGATTGATTTTAGACTACAACACCATTAGGTCAAGCTTTGTTTGATGGGTTCCCAAGTCGGTGCGACGAACACAATGAAGGTTTTGTGCCTTCCAAACCTGCCACCCAAAGAATCCGGGCCCTTCTCCAATGTGAAGAGTTTGGTTCAGGTCCGGGACAATGCTGCGAAGAGGGAGAAGGTCCAACCCCTGCCATGGAGATGTTCACCAATGACGGAACAGCTGGTGAACGGCGGTGTCACCGGAACAGAGTCGCCCCAGTTTTTAAAAGGTGGTTGCACGTGGTTGCACGACCAGATGCGGTATAGAGGAACATCATGTTCCAACTCCTTTGGTTGGCACTTGGCATGCTTTGTATCGAAGCAAGGGCGACCGTTGGGTCAACCTTCATCTTTGTATAATATACCGCCCCCTGACGCTGTCCATCCAATAACCACCTGGTGCTGGTGTAGAACAGGCTTATAAATACCGTCACCTTCCAACAGGTCTCCTGTGGAGGCTTTTGCAGACCAAAAAGTTGCAGGTGGTGACCTGTTGGAGGGTCCTGGTATATGGTTCCTTTATGTTCCTTTGTAGAGGACATGTGTTTTTGTTGAAGGTGCAATTGCCATCCTAGTCCTGGCCCTAGCGGTTCCAGTGGGTGTCCTGTCTGGAGACCTACAAGTATAGTGTAGAGTTGTCCAGCCAGGGGACCCCGAAAAGAACCAGCTGGCCCGGCCGGCGTCCAACCACCATGGATTTAATAGGCTTTACCGAACAACCATTGTTTCACTAAGGACTTTACACTACAAAACCAGCTCGTTCCCATGATATTCGTGCGTCTTCACGGAAGTCAGCCGGGGATGTCGTTGACGGGTGGATGTCGTTCGGCCGTGCCTGGAGCGCCGCTTCGCATCGCAGCCGTTTCTCCTCAAAGTCTTGGAGCTTTCGGCGCGCGCCCCGGCGAGGCCGGGAAATGGAGGGAAAGGATGGGACAGCTCAACAGGTTTCGTTCACCCAAAGGAAGCTCAACGGTGCAACTAGAGTCGAGGTCTTTGAATGAAAGCTTTCACTTCCGGTTGGTGGTATCGAACACGTCCATTTTTGTCTGAATTCAACCTTTATTTGTAGATCTCGCTGATGCATATAGACGCGTATAGTGAGTTGACACCACCAACCAGACTGGTGATGAGCCCTGTGGGGGGAAAGATGTTCAGGAGATGCTCAGAAAATCTGAGACACATTCCCTGAAACCATCACGGTTCCGTGGATGGCATGGCCCCTTGGGGAACGATCAATTTCCAGAAGAACGGGGTGCTCCAACCACTTCATATTTCATTGTTCGTGGAACGGTACGAAGCCGTAATCATCAACCATTAGCAGCAGCCTCGTCACGAGTCTTCATCATCGTCATCGTCGTCCTCATCACCATTCGTTGTTGCGTGGGAGAAGGGTGAAGACAGGGTCTGTTTCGCGGAAAGATCATTTTCCTCACTCTAGTTTTTTTGGGGGCTCATCTTGTGAAATGTCAGAATCAGGTAGAACCTGACTCAGCCAGTTCCTGATATCTATATATATATTGTACTATACTAGGATCTTCCAACAGTGCAACATATCTTCCTTTTCGTCAATAAAACCAACCAAAGGGCATGAATTCTGCACAGTTGGAAGATCCAGGTATAGCAATGTTTATTCTTTGAAAACATGATTGCACCAAACCAAATATATAGTCTGTTTTAGCCCCTTCACTTTTCGCTGGATTATTCTTTGAACACATGAGCCAACGCGTTTCTAGCTATGCCCCTTCGGTGTTCAGAAGGACTCCGAGGACGATCCCCTTTGACTGGAAGAGAACCGTCCTCAGAGTTCAGGGGACCCAGCGGCGGTGTTGAGAGTTGTGACCCAGCCTTTTGGACATGGGGTTAACATGTCTTTTGTTTTAACGTGCCCAACTGGACATGGTGTAAGCATTTTTTTGCAAGTGCAAACTGGACCTGGGGTAAGCAGTCGTTGTTGTAAAGTGCAAACTCAACATGGGTTTTGCATGTTTTTTTCTTCTGCAAGAACAAACTGGACGACATGAGTCATGAGGTTAACATGCTTGTTGCAAGCGCAAGCTGGTGGGGTTGTCATGTCTATTTGAACGTGCCAACTGGACATGGGGTAAACATGTGTTTGTTCCCTGTCCTCGTACCCCTGTGGTACTTGATTCGAGTGGGGGAAGTGTTGGCACCCAGCTTTGAGTGGCTCCCAGCGAGGGCGGTGGTTGGCAGAGTGCAACCCTCTTCAAGGGTGAGGCTTCTTGAGTGAGTGGGTCATGATTTCATGATGTTTCTGGAACTTCATGTAGGATTGATTGACTCACAATACATTCATCATCCTGCATGAATGTCTCTTCTCATCCTCTCCTCCTTGGCACTGAGCTCCTGCAACTGGACTGTCTCCGGGTTCACACCGAACTGAGCCTTGCCGTGCCGACAGGATTAGCTTTGCGGGGCGCCGAGGTGAAGTCTTAAGCATCGCGGCAGCGGCATGGGTCATCGGTTGAATGGAAGGGACAGCATTTTGATCAAATGTAATGTATAGCGCGACTTGCGGTCCCTGTCCGTCACGGCCTTTCATAGGCAGTGAATAAATGTAATGTATAAGATCTACAATGATCGCATTGTTCCCCAAACACTACGGGATATAAGCCCGGGTGTTCAATGCTGCTCATTGCCACGTACCGCTGTACTAGAAGTCGCCGCTATTTTCAGGCCTCGTGAGATCTTCAAAGTGTATTTCGACTGACCAGGTTTGCTCAAAGTTTTTGGCTTTTTCTGGGGGAGTTCCGAAATGCGATTTCAGTGCTAGCAACATGCGTTTTTTGTGTTTTGAACTATCCAGTTTGTTGACTTTGACAAGGGAACACGTTGATCATGCATCGGGTGTAGGGGAGGCCTGTCTTGTTTTCCAGGAACTGCAGCAGATCATCCCAAGTCAATAGTTTTTTTGGTCTCCAAATCTCTTCGAGAAAAAGAAAAAAACACAGTTTCTGATCAAAGCTCAGGAATACACATCCTGGTCCTTCGCTGGACACCCTCACGTATTGATGATGCAATGGGGTCTAAATGTTCGTCTCGTGAGCATCATGTCTAGGGGTGGACTCATATTCATGTCCAGCTTCCTGAGGAGGGATCCAACCCCATCCTGTGTAGTGGACGAGCCAAAAAGGGGCATACACAGCAAGTACATCCAACACTTCTATGTGGATGTGCAGCTCGAATAGGGAGAACCGTCAGGATCCCCTGGGTTCGGGTCGGAAAATCGACCAGTCTACCCGACCCATTGGGCGGCCTCGGCCTTGGGGTTCTCCCGCCATGTAAAAACAACACCCAGGCATCGATGATGAAAGCCTCCGGACTTCTTAGCCGAACGCCTTGGTGGTTGTGGCACATCTCCCGTGCATGGCACACCAACGCTATGCTTTCGCCGGACCCGAGGTCGTGGCAAGGAGTGCATCCCCTGCAAAGCATGGATGCGGTCACTTGGCAAAGCGGTGTTCCCCTCTCCCACCGATTTCAGGATGATCGTGTATGATCCAGACATGAGGAGGACATCCTTGGAGAGCTGTTTTTTGGGATGGCGTCCCAGTTTTGGGGTGTGGACCGGGATGATCCACAATTGTCCTGCGGGTGGTCATGGGTGTAGCTCCGTGTTATATTTTAAGTTGGATGTTGGAAGGTCATGCGGCATGTTTTTCGTTTCTGAGAAGTGTTGAAACTTAGACTTGTTATACAATATAAAAACCTCTACTTTGGTAGTACATTGTTGAATTGTTGAATAATTGACTAACAACACATCCGACCTGTGATATCAGCACTAACACTCCTTTGTTCGGTCCGTTGCACCCGACCTGAGGACTTGCGGTGTCAAGTGGAGGGCATTTTCCAGTGCACGCTGGCCGATTCCGAAGGCCTCCTCGAACGGGAGAGCTCCTGGGCGGCGGCTGTCGAGTCGGGCGAGCGGCGTGGGGTCGGTCAGAGTCGTGCTTCCGTTTCTCCGGTCGTATGAACACAGTGGGACTGTCCAGCCTTTTTTGGCAGTTCAGTGGATCACCTTCAGCCTGCAGCAACCAATTTCTTTGGGGGATAGGTGACACCTGATGAATGATAGAACAGGTGGGAAAAGGTTATAATTAGGTCAAACCTGTCCAGGGATCTCCAGCATCGGGAGTCAGTATTGGCTGGGTAGGGCTGAACAGGCGGCTGATGTGATGCGAATGGTCAGATGATGTCAGATGGGTCCCAGACAGCCATGTGGTCCCAGACACCCCATTTTCCGCAGCCTGTCATCGAACACACAGGTTAGACCTCTCAGGGTCAAATGGTGTCCCACTCCCTGGAAGTAACATGGAAGTGGAGTTCACCACCTGTTTGTAGAGGCAAAGGCGGCTCGTAACCAAGGCCACGCAGTCTCCACGGAACCCATGTGAGTGGGTGCGTTCTTGGATCTCGACGGTCGGAATCGGCGAGAAGCCCATCCGATCAGGATCACTGTGCCCCTCAGGCGATCCAATCGATTATTCGTAGACAGAAAGAGAAGGTGGTCCCTAAAGTCGTTTCCTTCACTTCAGTGAAAGCAAGAAACATTGGACTTCTGGGGAATTGATGACAATGACTGAACATACACTGGGCTTCACCCAGAGGTTCGAGCATCTATAACGCAGACCTCTCCGTCTCTGGAGCATTTGAGCGCAGACATGCGCAGACTTTTGTCTCTGTGCCTCCCAGCGATCTGTTGCACGGTTCACCTCTTCACCAAGTGTTGAGGGTATCAGCATGTACATTCCGACTCACTGGAAGCGGACAACCACCTGTTGGAAGAGGACAGTAGTCTTCCAAGGCGTCATTTTCTACTTCCAGGTGACGTTCGTCAGAGTGTATTCCTAGGGTCAACTGAACTTGTGTTGGAAGATTAGGGAGAAGGATCTGCCATGATCTGCCTTTTTGGGCATCAACAAAAAGGCCCTTTCAGGATTGAAACGTAACGAAACGAAACGACCCTACGACGCTACGACCCGACAGTACGACCTACGCTACATACAAGTGTCGAACACAGAAGACCCTCTCAGGCATGTGGATCCATAGGGTAATCAACCTTTTTAGGCTCCCAGATTCCGTGTTCTTTCTGTTACGGACATCCCAGGTCAAGGACCGAGGATTTCCCTGGGTTGGTCAAGTTTTGAGTGCCAAATGAGGTCAGTTGGACCAGGTTTTACATAAAGCTAGCTTTTTTGCTGATCCACAGATTCCGTGTCAGCACTGAACTTCCTTCCAAGATCGTCCAAGAAGCTTCATTCTTGTCAAAAAGGGCTTGTCTAGAGAAAATATAGATATACTGTATAACAAAATACAGCCATGCACTCTTAGCACTCTTGACGTGATCGACCAAGGCTGTATTGACTTCCTCCGGTCAATTGGTGGCACACTGCAGGAGGCCAATGCTCTACTGAAGGAGATCTGTTGCAGAGATCAGACCGTTTGTTTCATCAGAACAGACAGATTTGAAATCATGGGTGGAAAGGCCTAAGGTGAATCCTTGGAATCCAGGACCTGTTTATCATAGGAGCTGAGACCCCACGGTTTCTGAGTCATGTCCCATTTTCTGACTGTTTTCATCGGCCTAGGCACTGAAGTACGACCTGGTGGGTGTCCCATTCACCACGTCGTTGTCGCGGTTTGTGACGCATCCACCGCAACAGCAAAGCTGTGAATTCATGCAATATTAAAAACATAGGATTCCCGCATGCATGGTAAATAGACCTCTTTTTCACGCGCCCGTGTTGTACATGTAAGACAACTCCGGGTGATGGTACCAACCGGTCGCGTCAAACCCCCCGCCGACTTGCCGACTCGCCAACTCGGTTTGTGCCAAGGATCGAATGGACCATCCTGGCACTTACAGTGTCGAACACATGTACCGTAGGCTGAGAAGGTACGAATGGATATATAGGGTAGGTGGTTGGGGCTCGGTTTGGGGGGGGGTACCATGGTTTAACTATCTTCTGACAATGCAGGCCCCATAGTTCCATGTAGTTCCCGATAGTTCCCTTTTTTTTGGAGCGCGAGTCCAGGAGCATGACCAGCAAGAACAGTCTCACATCAGTGTCTGAGCTGTATTTGAGTTGTTTTAGGGGATTTTTTGTGGCGGGACGACTGGTAAAGAGATGTAAACAGAACACTATGGGAAAATTATGGGAACCATTGTTCTCTCATGGTGGAACCAGAGGACCCCGCTATGTGATCCCATGATTGGGAGCCAATGAGGCCAATGAGTGAATGTTCTGGTTGTGATCTATTTAAAGCAGAAGAAGAAAGACATGCACGAGGCACTATGTACGTAACAGGCGCCTTGGATATCAACCAGAAGAAGCCAATGAAGTCACTACCAGCAAAACCCAGTTCGGGTGGTTATTGGATGGACCACGCTGTACATCTTCAGTGGGGTCTATAAACCACCCTTTGGGTGGTATAAACCAGTAGTGACTTCATTACTTGCATGAAGCTCTCCCTCACGCCGGGCTTTCAATCACCGGTGCCCAATGGATTGCAAACCCTACATGCAGTTCTTCAAAAATTCAGCTCCCCACACTCTCCAGCCTCTGCGGCCAATGCCTCACACCTTTCACTGGTGTAACTTACCGCCGTTTCCCCGCGGCGAAGAAAGTGTTCTCCCCTGAGGTGTGAAAGACTTCCTGGATCTACTTTGTGGACCCGATTCTTCCTCCGCTCCGCCAGAGGAGCGAATGTAGTGTCCGTCGATGGAGAGATGATATGGGACCCCGTATTTTGATAGGGAGACCCAGAACCAATGGGGTTGACTGGTCTATTTTACATCTTCCAGGGGGCTTATGGGGAGGTCTCCCTATTTTAATACAGAGCGGTTTAATACAGAGCGGGTTTGGGGGGGCTGGACATGGCGGTGGTGTTCGGTGGTCTTCAGTGATGGCGACCTGTTTTCCGGTTGTGGAGAATCTGGGTGGTGGATTAGGTTCCCTACAGATCCACTTCCGGCACCCTTTGAGAAGGGGAGACACTGTAGGCTTGGATTGTCCAAGCACCGAACCTCAGAGGGTCAGTGCCTGGGGATTGACAGACCCAGATGGGATCTGAGAGGGTTAAAGGACTGTGCACCAACACACACGGGATCCTGGAACCTGGCCAACTGGCCGACTTGCCTATCCGGTGATCGGAAACTGGCCGAAAGGTGAAGCATGAGCGGTGTTACACTTGAACAAAAACCTTTCAGGGTGGGGAATACGGGCTCTCAAATATGAGCTGAGAAGGTTCGATTCCGGGTCCGGAATCCTGCCGATTTCTGGGCCAACCCCTGCCAAGAGGGCCCGCACCCAAGGATTCTTACAGCAGTCCACTTCATTGAATAGCAAAGGAAGGGTTTTCGACGGTAGGGGGGTGCTTTTCTCCACCCAAGCTCGCAGGCGAAGCCAGAGCTGCTTGGCGACGAAGACACTGAGAGACCGCAAGCCTTGGCTTCCTGTCAACCTTTCCCACGACGACTGATTGGCTCCCTCACACGTTACATGTGAAGTCCTCAATCCACATCCCTGGATCTTCAAACCAAGCAAACCTTCCCAGCATTCTGGTTGGTTTTTTGATATCTGAAAAGGTGTGGCAAGCATGTTTGCAGTAGTTGGAGGATCCAGGTCAATCTGATTTCTCTTTTGGCGAAAGAAAGCCACGCAGATCACTAAGGACCAGTGACTCTCCGCCCAAGAGCGAGCCGGAGAGAAAGGAAGTGAAGGAGGAGAGCAGCCCTCCAAAAAGAGAACCCCAGCAGGCCCCGCTAGAGCAACCCTCCGTCAAACCGGAGGCGGAGAAGGGCGGAGCGATGCGGAGGAGGTGGAGGTGGAGAGGGCGCAAGATGCTGCATGATGGCGACTCCTGTCCATTGGGCACCCCTTAAGGGGAAAACCATTGGGCACCCTTCGGAGGCATTTCCGGAGCGGTCGACCCATCCCCCATGCCTCCTCCATCACGCAGCTCAGGTTCGGTAGATCTTCCTGGACCAGACCTGGGGCACCTACAGAACAGTACGTGTTGTTGAACACAACACCTTCTGAGAAGGTATAGCTTGGATCTATGTACATCCCAAAAACCCATTATTTTGAGGGGGAATGGGGGTTGCCTATATGCCTATACCGAGTGGTTTTTCAGCGTCGGTGAACGTGGATGTTCCAACTGAGGGAGTCAGACGGCCGTTGACCGCTTTCGACCGGTCCCGAAGGTGGAGGAAGCCTGTGGGGCACCCGAATCCAAAGTGGAGAAGGAGATGCGACGGCAGCGACGGCAGCGACGGCACCGCAGGGTGAACGCGGTGTAGGAACAGAGACCTATCTGACCGGGTCTATGGGAAAGAGGTCTCGACTTTTCAAGGATGCCCTTGAAGAAGACAACGAATTGATTGGTGAGGGATCTTCCGAATCTAAAGTGCCTCTATATGGAAAGTGGGTTTGGTTTTCCCTTGAAAACCGTCCAAAACTCAAGGGCTTGACATGCATACATGCTGCAAACCAGCCAAGATCCTGATATGCGATAAACAGAAAAGACTGTAACTGTTGTATAAGAAAGAGTTTCCATATAAGAGACACAAATTTTCTGATTGAATACCCTAGCCTTCCGTTGGACCATTCATCAATCTTAGAAAAAAAACAATTTATGCCGTACAAAGCACATACTGGGCCAGTTCGATGTTTATTCGATGCAGCTCGCCATGGCCAGCTTCAGCTGGCCATGCGGTTCCGTCGCTTCAGGACCTCTCGGAGGAGACTTTGGAAGTCACTGCCACTACAGCCTCCGTGGAGGTGCAGGACCATAATAAGCTTTGTTTGGTGTGGCGAGGTGTTTTTCTTTGGTTTGTTCCCCACCTGCCAAGTGAGGGTGGTTTTAGATTTGATCAAAGCTATCCTCTTCTCCTCCTCCTCTTCTTCCTCCTCTTCTGCGTTTTTGTTTCTTTTTTCCGAACTGGCTGCGAACCTGCTTAGATCAGATGCTGAGATCCGTTGAACGCCCGGCTGAACCTGATCTTTCTGGACAGGGTACGTGATGCAGCCTCCAGAAGTCTGGCCAGTTTGAGTCATTCGGAATCAAGTGTGAGCATTATGCCGATCTTGAGTGCCCTCTAATCCGGGCCCTCCCTTACGTAGGGTTTGCTTGGGTCCGGACCCCTGCGTGTCGGTGGAGAAGGGTCCGACCGTCGGTGTCGGGCCACGAGCTCGGATCCTGTTGGGCTCCGCGGCAGACCCACGAGGACCCGGCGTGGCGGGCGGACCTCGCCACCCATGGAGCTTTATGAATGGAGTTGACCGAAGAACCAGCTGTTTTACTAGATAATACTAGATATTTCACTCTACTAAACCAGGTCAACCATTCGTTTAAAGTTTAAATGGTCGAACTGAAGGGGCTAGGGATCCAGGAGGAGACCGAACTTGAGGTTCGGTATCCTCCTGGACCCGGCGTTTTGGCACCTACATGTCTAGTGGAGACATGTGGAGACAACGCATCGCCGTACCTCAGAGGGTGCCAGTGGATCCCTAGGGATAGAACATGGGACATGACTAGACATGACCCAAAGCGAAAAGAACAGATCCCACAACCAACAACAGGCACGAAGACCACGGTTGGGCGATTGGAGACCTGTTTTTTGAGACCTGGAGACCGACGAAACCTTGCACCTTTTGAGCGCTTGAGAGTCTCCTCATTGAGTTGATGCAAAGAAGATCAAATATAGTTTGGAGGAGCATTCCTTGGCCATTCCTTCCTTACTAGAGGTTTTTAGTATCTTCCTAGAATCCAAACATGACCTTTGTTTTGATCGGAAGGGTCCAAAGGAAGGGTTCGTATCATTTGGCTCAAACATCAGGTGCCATTCAAAACCCCCGGTGGTCAAGGAGAATTAGACCACCACCTAGCCTTCCAAAACATTCCAAAACCATTACTGTAAAAAATTGCTTGACCTGGTGGTGTAGTGCAAAATCCTTAGTAAAACAATGGTGGTTAAGTCAAGAAAATCAATGGTGGTTGGAAGCCTAGGGCGCCAGGGCTTATTGTTTGGAGCCAGGCCCAGGGCGCTTAGATCTTCAGGGTGTCTCGCAGACCGCGGAGACGGCCGGAGGACGGCTTCGTTCGAATCCGTGGCCACCGGAACAGGAGGACGACTCCGCAAGCCTTCCAGAGGTGGTGAGGATTTGTGATGCCCCACGGACTGGACATGACCACGCCAAAGACGCCAAGACTACGCGCGTGGGTGAAGGGGGAGGGGGTGGAAGTTTGGGCGCGAGGACCACCTGCTTCTTTTGCTAGATGGGGAAGGGGTGTTTGGACTTCCGGGATGGAACAAAAAGTCCCTGAGTATGTATTTTACCCTCCAATCACCATTTGAAGCATGTATAATTATTGTACCAACGTCACTTTCGAGCTTCGCCTTGAAAAACATAGTCCCATCATTTATATAGATCCTTTAAAGCCTTTACCCTAGAAGTCCAGTTCGACTCTATCCGGCACCACTGAGGCAAAACAGTTTCCTTTTCGGGTCATGTTTAAGACGACCATGTGTCAACAAGACGATCTTGGACTCCCAGGGTCTACGAAACATATCACTGGACGTCCAAGACTTTCTTGGTAAACATGTTGATCTGGTTTTGTAGTATTTAATCCGTAGTAAAACAATGTAAAAAATGATGGTTCGACTTCAGGGATATATATGAACTCACTGCACGGCTTTGTCCTGAACCACTCGGAATTTCTGGTCATGATCATCCAATCAAGCTCCACGACCCACGCACCTAACACTTTTCCACCTGTGCGGCTCGGAAGTTGAGCTTGGTCCACCTCTTCATCGATTGCTTCCAATCACCGGTGAGCAAACAGTCACCGAATAGTGAGTGATTCGATCAGTGAATCTTCTGGGCACCCTCCAGGATCGGCACCTCGACATGGAACTTCCCAGCCAGACGGCGAGATCGCGCACGCGCCAGCCACCTATGCCGTGCCGTGGGGCCCTGACTCGCACTGAGGCATGCAATCAGAAGACCGAATGCACGCAGGACCCCACCGATTTGGGTTGGTACTGCGAGTCGTGCCTTGGTTTGTTTTTGGATCGGAGAAGATCGGTTTGAGAGTCTCGGGACAAATCTAAATAGCTTCCAAATCGACTCAAATGGTATTTTGCGATCTCACATGAATCCGGTGCGGTCCATGGTATGGTTCCATGGTATATACCCTAGCCTTCAAAGACCATTACTGTGAAAGAATGGTTGACTTGGTGGTGTAGTGTAAAAGTCCTGGGCAAAACAACTTCGGTATTGTAGGTACAGAACACCCCAAATATGTTGCTTTGTTTCTTCCTATCAAAACAAGGGTCAAACGGATTCCAGGTATACCTAAGCCTTCCAACCACCATTTATTTCATACTTAGAGGATGTTACACAACCAGCTCAGCTCTTTGTTAAAAATGCCTTCTTTGACCATCCCCCCCAAAGAGTCTCGGTCTCAAATGGTCCGGCCTTTTTGGAGTAACGGTAAAACGGTCCACCGGCGAACCCGCGGTAACGGTGCACACGAACGGTGAACACCCATTGACATCAAGCGCGTGCTGCACAAAAAAAGTAAACACCATGGATCTTCCAACTATACAACATGTCCGCTTTGGGCTATAGTTGTATCATCTTTAATCCATGAAAAAGGCAGATCTGTTGCACAGGTGGACGATCTATAGGTATCTATCTACCACGGCGTATATAAATAGGCCGTGCTGCCCTGCGAGAGAGTCACGGCGACGAGTCACCGAGGTGTTGGATTAGCTACTATGGCGCCCCACCGGGTACCGAGAGCTCGTCGCTTGGACCGTCGACCAGTCCGACCAGTCGGGCCGTGACAGACGGCTCGGCCGGTGATCCCCGGTGATCCGATCGGGTGGTGTTCAGGGTCCGGACCCAATCCCGGTTTGGATGGGGACCGGGAAAGGCCTGTGAACCCCCGTCATGAAGCGTTCAGGAAGTTCCTTCAGATCACGTCATGAAATGACACCCCCGTTTGGGGTTGCAGAATGCATGGACACGACTGCTTGGTACCTCGGAAAATGGGTGTATACTGCAAGTGTACTGGGGCGCACTTAAAGATGTCAAAATGTATATAATTCCTGCATTTAAACATATTTGCTGCTGGGACCGCAGCTCAGAAGTACTCAATGATGAATCAAATAAAATAACTAAAAACATATTAAAACCCAAATAACAAAGGTGGGTTAACCTGCCCGTGGGACAAGGGTAAGGCATCCTCATGCAGCCAAACCGGAGATCTGTCATGCAGCCAAACGGTCCTGTGGCCATAAAGTTCACTTCTGGTTGTAATGAAAAAATCGGTCAGGCAGCCAGGCTTCACACCCCTCTCTCTCCTACTCTCTCCTTTGATAGAGGACCATCTCCCCCAATTAGAACTTAGAATTGAAATTAATTCACCTTTTCACAAAGTCTCATACCTGCACTTCAGGAAATCATCTCAGTAGTGACAGGGCTTGATATACCCTCCCTTAGTGAGGTGGGTAGCGCTAGCGACTGCAGTAAGCCTCCATGTGATTTTCTTAAGTGCAGGTGAAAATTTTTCAGGGACGCTTAAATCAATTCAAAAACCATGCCCCATTGATTGAGAGCCATGGGCTTACTGAGGTCGGTAGCGCTACCGACCTCCCTAAGGGGGAGGTGTGGCATGTCCTCCCCTTACTGCCCTGATTTCCTTAAGTGCAGCTGCATTTTGAAAATAAGTATTTCCTACTTCCCAATCAGGGTGACCAGGAAGAAAAAACATGTCATCCTTCGGGGAGTCCAAACAGGGGTCAGAGAATCATATCCTTGCTTGGATGTGTAGACAGAGATTCAATGGCACCACTGCTGCTGTAATTTTGTACGGATGGTACTAAAGAGCACATGATTGTTCCATGCCCTACAGAATCACAACGGGTCCTAAGATCCTAAAGACTGAAAGCTGTGACTTCACAGGGTGCCCTTTGTTTGGGGGGGCAAACCAGACATCCCAGCCTTCTCCCCAACTCATAGGGAGTTTATTTAAACAATATATATGTTAAAAATCAGGGAGGTGAATTTTTGACTTTGTTAAGTGCAGGGCAGTGTACACCTGTTTTTTTGTTCAGGTCAGGTCGCATTGACCTTCGGGTACGAACGGCCCATCGGGTCCAGCGGCGGGCCAACCCGGCCGCCTTCTTGGGTAGTGAAGAATGGCTCTGAGCACTTACCCCCAGCAACTACCCCACATTGCTCGTCTCGGTCTGCGTAGTGTCTAAAAGTCTAAACTCCATAAACTACCCAGGACCCACTGAACGACAGGGGTGGTTGACAGGGGCTACTAATAGACACCCCCAAACGTGGGAGGCCTTGGTATGTGCCTGGACCCTCCAAAGTGCCTTGGAAAATGAGACATGACCTCTTTAAAAACAGATCCAGAAAAGGACGTACTTGTACTATCTTGTACTCATTTTCTGGGGTACTTTGAGACTCCAGGTACTTCGAAGAATCGTGTCCTCCGAAAAGCGCAGCAGAGCGCCAACCTGGTCTGCGGATCGGACTCGGACCAAGAAGACGCTCCGAAGAAAGCACCCCCCAGTGCCCCCGGTGGTGGTGTCAGGACTCCGCCCCCCTGAATCCGGACATGTGTTTCTCATAGAAAAAAACACCGGACATCTCCTGGAAGGTGCTGGTACACTCAGGTTTCAAGGGTCTCGGTCTCCAGGTCGGACTGCTCATCGTTGGAAAACAAGACCGCGTTTCTCTTGTCACATCTGCACAGAGTCCAGATGCCGATAGAAGAGAACCGAAGAACATGTGTGGCCACCTCCTGTGAACGTCACTGGAACTGCGTGGTTATAACCTCTCAGAATCCTGGCCTCCCTCATGTGGTAACAAGTAGACTGAAGATAGGAATCAATTTGAATCAACATCACACAAGAAGCCTGGCCTGCACTCCCACCTACTGATTTGATTTCTGTGCTCCTTCAGACCATCTTGCCTTGTCTCTTTTCATTCCCTAGTAGTCCAAGTGCCTTCTCACAAGGTGATTGGAGACACTGTTATGTAGGTTTGGAGGGTCCAAGTACCTTCTGAGAAGGTACTTGGTTCCCTAGGGATTCACATCTAAATTATGTTCCATGGACTGCCTTTCTTGAGACATGACATCCGGCCAACTCTGCTGTAAGGTACATGTTCCTCCACACCAATCGGCTGGTCAAGGTCAAGGATGGCCGTGTTTGGCCGGAGGTGGAATTGCTCTCAGCCGCTTGAGATTAGATGTGATGGTGGAGAACGGTGGTGGCAAACACGCGCCGCGCAACGTGGTCCCCTGGAATATGGGACATGACACGACCCCAACAGCGCGATCTGACTTCTCGCAAAAAAAGCTGAAGTCTTCCAACCGTGCAACATTTCATGCCTTAACTGGCTGATTGTAAAGAGAAAGAGGCAGGAAGATCCAGGCACAGTTGGAAGATTCAGGCACGTATGAGGAAGCTCCACTTTTTAAACGGTTGGCATCCGACGTCGCTGTGATCTGCACGCTGCATGTTTCACCACTTAGGGTTTTCGGGTGGAACACCAAGAAAATATGGAGTGGCCAGGAAGTTCCAGACTGAGTTGACCTTCAGTTTTGTGACCTCGGTGATTGGAGTCTGTGGTTAGTTCTTTGGTTTTAAGTGACCTCATCTAGCCCTATGGATCCACGTACCTTCTCAGGTTTGGTGAGCAGGGAGACACTGTTATGTAGGTGCCAGGAGGGTCCAGTCGTACCGAACCTGAGAAGGTATTTGGTTCCCTAGGGTAGAAACAAAGTGACCTCCTCCTTTTATGGACTAAGTGGTCTCCTTTTGAGATCTCCTTCGGATGGTCACGAACTTTAAGGTTCTTTTCGTGTCCAAGCTGACCACGTCAACGGTGACACTGTTGACGGCCATTTGGGGAAGGACCGAACCCAGACACTCCATGTACCAGGACCGAAGCCAGTTCACCCGGTGGTTGGACTGGACAGCCCGGCCCTCTAAGACGTACCTAGAGGCGTCCTGGACACCTCTTGGAAGGTCCTGGTATGGAAGACATATATACATTGTCTACGGCTCCTGTCCCACATCCGAAAAGAAGTGGTTAGGGTGGGTGCCACGGGGGGGGCCTACGACACCAGGTCAAGTAAAGTCTTTGAATGGTTGAACGGAAGGCCAACGGGTTCCGGTGAAGAACAAGAGAAGCCTTCCGGTTTGGGACCCTCCCAAGTAAAAGAATTCCCATCAACTCCCCAGCACTCAGTTCGTCACCGATGGAGCCTCCTGACCCCGTGTGTTGGATCCAACCACCATCCAAAACTGGGCGGTGGCCAAACTCCTCTCCTTACTTGTCCCACTTGTTGGTGACTTCCTCCCCCTCCATCCCTCGCCCTCTCTCCCGCCCTCGCCGCGGCGCGACGGCCAGCTAAACGTCTCCGAGGCGTGGAACGCCCATCCGATCCCCAAATGGCCGCCCCGGATGCCGCCCTGCGGCCCCGTCTCGGTCGAAGGAGGCGAGTGCCGCGTGCCGTGCCACGCGCTCCGCGGGGAACCTCCGGGAACCTCCGGGGCCGCGGACGGGGCGGGTGGATCCAAAGGGGCAGACGTGGGTGGGTCGACAAGGCGAACACTTAAGGTCAACCTAATGCGAAACCCAAAAGCGGATCGTGCACGGCGGAGCGGATCGTGCACGGCGGAGCGGACGAGACGAGGTGGTTTCGTTTGGATCAAAGAGGGCGATGGACGTCCCTGGTAGATGAAGAGGATCTTGGATCAAGCTTACCTCGATGTTGGCCTCGATGCTTGGCCACTGGCCGCCGCCATCGCAAGTGTCCTCACTCTTTGTCCGATCGGCAAGGGGTCCAAGGACGACTTGGGACCTTCTCAGGCCAGGACCCAGGCCTCCCCTGGCCTTGTAGCAAAAGAATGTAAAACAATGATGGTTCTTTCGTCAAGACCATTAACACAATGGTTGCTCGAACCTAGGGTACAGGTTGCCACAATGGAGACCTCATAGGCAACCCTCAACTAACGATTGGAGATCACTGGGGTAGGTTGACCATGCTTGACCATCGATACATCACCCTAGCCTTCCAAGACCACTAAAAGAGTTCCGGTTGACCTGGTGTTCTAGTGTAAAATCCTTAGATTAATGATGGACAGGGAATCTTTGGGGATCATCTCGGCCAACACTTCTGGTCAGACACCCCATGAAACCCCGTCCGCCGCCCTGATCGTGACCGCAGGCGACCCCACGCAGATTGGGGACGCCTGGGTGCGAGCTCCAGAGTCGTTTTGGTCGGAGGGAGGGAACACCAGGATACATCCCTGGCCCTGGGTGGTGCTGCGAACGGCTTTTTGGCACCACCATGTTCGGGACATGAGGAAGGGTCAGGTACCAGCTTCTGCCGTTCGTGACCGAGCGACCGAAGAACCAGGTGCAACACCTTCGAACGAGGGAAGTGGATGAAGTGGTTTCGCACCTGATCTGCGAAACAGCTCGGGAGTCAGACTATAGTCTGGGCTGGTCTGGACAGCACAGCTATATACGGAGTTGCCAATTACATTCGCCGGCTGCAGCCTGAGCAGGCTTTGCTATCAGTGGTCATTGGCACGGTGTGCTACAACTCCTGGCGTTACCTCGACGCTTTGTTCGGAGGTCTTGATCACAGATTCCGCCATAGCCTCTCTCCGCGAGATGACATTTGCACAGGTTTGGACACTAGAGCACTTCAATGCTGCAGTATCTGAAGGCCATACCCTTCGGCAGCCAACGCCCTGGTCCAAGATGTCGGGAGGCAAGGTATCATCGCCGATGCTGGCATTGAAGCTCTCCAACTCTCAGGAAATCTACGCTGCAGGTGTGCTGGGGGAGAAACCCATACTCTTGCACACAGTTGCAAAGTAATGATCAAAGGGGGTCTGATCAATGTGTTTGGAGATTTTCGAGGGCTTCGAGAGAAGTTTGGTGTTGTGCCCAAAACCTGTATCGCGTGGATGGTGAGCCTGAACAACCCGCAATTTTTGTGCAGCTTTGGCAAGACATTTGTGAAACCAAAGGCCATGGCCGCCGGTGAAGCAGGCAACCCTGGAACCTGCACAGAGAACGATGTCACCTCCGGTTTGTTTCACACCGCTTGTCTGCACCTGCCAAACCCTTTGTTTTCACCTCAATAACTTCTTGTTACTAACCCTTCGGAACCCTCAGGAAACTGCGCAGAGACTGTCCGGAACGACGGGAACCGCCGGAAACTGACCCGGACGCCTCCGGAACGTGAGGCAGCACAGGATCCATCCATCCATCCATCTATCCACCCATTCACACATCCATCAACGGAGTGCCAACCAACCGACCAACCAACCAAGCAACAACGCGGCCAAGCCAACAAACCAACCCAGCAACCAAGCAACCAAGCCACATAACTCCGTGTTTTCCCCAAGTGCTGTAGATACTAGAAATCCCGTGCGGGGGAGGCTTGGTTTGCATTGCGGGGGAGGCGCTGCGCCCTCCCCATTTACACAGCATCCATCCACCCACACATCCATCAACGGAGTGCCAACCAACCGACCAACCAACCAAGCAACAACGCGGCCAAGCGAACAAACCCACCAAGCAACCAAGCCAAGCAACCAAAACCACCCATCCCGTAGCGCTGCGCCCTCCCCCGCACCCCCTCCCGCCTTTATTTACACAGCATCTATCCATCCATCCATCCATCCATCCATCCATCCATCCATCCATCAACACAAACAGAAAACATTGCATGTCCATCAAGCACTATATCACGCAAGCAATCAACAGCAAGCAAACCAAGCAACCAACACACCAAAAAGTAACATTTTTGTCCCTGTCCATGATCCATCCATCACTGTATGTGTTTTCCCCAAAACCAAGCAACCAACAAGCCAAGCAGGCCGAACCAACCAACACACCAACCAAAGGAAGTGGTAAAAAAGAAAGGTAGCCCACCAAGCCACCAGCAAACCAAGCAACCAAACTGTGTTTTCCCTAAATGCTGTCGATACTGGCTTTGTATTGGTAGCCCACCAAGCAACCAAAACCACGCAACCCTGTGTTTTCCCCAACGGCCGTCGATATTTGGTTTGCATTACAACAAGCTAGCCAACCAACCAACACACCAAGCAAAGAAAGGCGGGTGAAAAATAAAGGGTCGAGGGTCAAGGAAAAGAAAGGGTAGAGGGTGAAAAAGGAAGGTTCGAGGGTAACTTTTTTTCATGTGACAAAGGTTCCAAACAGAGTCATCCAAAGCTCGCTGTTCCAAACGTCTCTTCGTCCTGCCATGCATGCAATCTGCCACCTTGTTTTGGGATGAGGAACTGCCAGGTGGAGTCCAATGTGTCATTGGGGATCATTGGAGTACAATGGAGTACCATGGACTACGCTCCCACTCACAAACATGGAAGTTAGTTCACCACCTGTTGCTAGAGTGAACATGTCTTCCAGGGCCATTTACCTCGAATGAGTCAGACTGTATTAGCCAGGAAGTTCGGTCAGCCAGGTTTCCTCGGGACGATGTTTCGGAGTTCACCTTTCGGCGCAATGGAGTACAGACATGAGTCAACCCCGGCGAGCCGGCCTTTTCCTCATGCCGCGTGTTTTGGAAGGAATTCCCTTTTTTTGGGCGCTGGGACGTGGGACAGAGATCCAGCACTTGTCCTTTTCATGGAATTCTCTAAGGATTGATTGGACACTGATTCTGTAGGACACGTTGTCGTTCTGATGATATTTATGGCAGAAGGTGAGACGGCCTGAAGAAGTGTGAACGCAGTGAATGTATACAAAAATGCTTTGGAGTGGATTTTTATTTGAATTTGTATAAACCCGTGGCAAAAATAATAGGCACCCCTGCTCTCAAGAGATACCTCTTTGGAACCCTGGATCTACCCATTCGCCGTCCGTTCGACCAGGGGTTCGGGACAGACCTCCTGAGAGTAACGGTTCAAACGGTGAAATCGGTGAAAAAGCATGTGAACACCCATTCAATCTGAATGGTGCCTGGAATATCTTGCAATCCTATGGTCTGCTGCACACTGCCTCCTGTTGTCATCCACTCCAGGTGCCCGTGCAGATTCACGTGAATCCGGGCCTCGTGGGACAATGGGCACGCCAATGCACGCGTGAATACCGACCCTATCCGGGCGAAATCCTTTGCAAAAAGTCGGGGCTCCCAGCGAGTTGGTCGTGTTTTTTTTGTTTTTTTGGCAACCGGCCGGGGAGCGAAGGTAACACAAGCATGCATGTGTTCGCGCGCGCGAGCTTTGGGTGGGGAGAGTTTGGGCGAGGCCATGATGGGTGAAAAGAAGCGTGACCGGTAATGTTTTTGTGGGCATGTATCAGCAGAACCAGAGTTGAAGGCGCCGCTGCCTGCTTGCCTTCACTTGTCTTCTCAGGTGCATGATCTGGAAGCAATTTGAATACGCAGAGGAACACCATTTAAAGGCTGTATTGCCGCAAATGTTTTGCTAAAGCAGAATTGACAAGCGGGCGAAGAATGGCCCGGGATTTTTAAACATACCAGTATGTAGGTGTACAGTTTACTATATCAAGAACACCTTTTCAGACAAGATTCAGAAGGGTTAAGGCAAAGGAAAGTCCAGGCCAGAAACTTTCCCATGGCAGCTTGCAAACAAGAGCCCTCTTCCATCCATCTCAGTGAACCAATAGTTTCAAGGCAACTGTCAGGTTTACTTTGGCTTCTTGGTGTTGCGTTGCGGAAGCTTTCAAGCGAAAAGACCTTTAAGCCAGCCCAATCATTCATGGAACAGTGCCCCCTTTGCTCATGTATGTTTCCGAGATAAGTTAAGCTATAGTAAGGTTCCGTTTGGCTGGGCACTGCTGCAAGCTATCTTGATCAAAAGAAAATGTATGATGAGAAGAGAGAAAAGGTAAGATTATAAGATGAGAAGAAAAGGTAAGTGACCGGTGGTGAGAAGCACTGAAGAGGCAAGAAGATAATAAGAAAAGGGCATGACATTAAACAGAATGAAACAAGATGAAGAGACATGAGCTGACATGAGATGAGACAAAAGGCATGAAATGAAATGAGACCAGATGAAAGACATGAAGTGGAATAAGATGAGAATAAATATGCAGCAAGTGAAGGGTTATATATAGATGAGCTGTGACATGAGATGAGACAAAGAAAACGAGGTGTTATTAAATGATATGAGACACGTGAAAAGATATGATCTCACGAACATGAACATTCATGAACTGAAACGAGCTGAAAAGACTTAACATGACATGAAGCAACAGGACGTGGAGTGAACTAAGATGAAGCTGAATGTAAAATATGAACACAACATCAGCAAGGAGTGGTAGATTGTGCTGCCTGACAGTCGACCCCGTCCGGGCTGATGATGTAGATCTTCGCCTTCTTCTCTTCCGCTTCTCCTTCTCAACCTTTCGCTCTTCTAACTTTGATTTTCTGGGAGTTTGGGGTTCGTCGGCATCGTCGTTTGGCACTATGAGAGTGCAGCACTGTCAAAGTGCAGCACTGTAAAAGTGCAACACTGTAAAAGTGCAACACTGATGCTTTCTCAGGGAGAGTGGCGACAAGAAGGGAAAGGTGGGCAAATCATCTGACATCTGGCCTGAATGCATCCACGAGGCATGGATGGAGACATTTGCTTACCAATGCAATGCACGCCAAGGAGACCGGGCAAGTGCAAATCATCGAGGCCTTCGAAGCACCATTCACCGAGGAAGAGGCACAGTGGCTCAAGGTGGACCACGGCGAAGCATCCTCTCAAGCGGTTTGTGGGCGAGTCCGAACCCACCACCAGATGTTTCAGACACTTTCTGGTGGCTTTTCTTCTTGGTAGGTTTTGCTTCCTAGAGCGCTCTCTATACCAGAAGAAAGAACACCAAAATATTGTTTAGCCTGACAAAATGATTTTGGCGGCGCCGCTGTAATGGAGTGCTTCGGGGAGCTTGAGGAAGCTCGTATCCCAACGCTTTGGCAGTGGAAGCAGCACGCCCCCCCCAGCCTGTTTTCTGACGGCCAAGCCCCACAAGTGGCGCGCCCTTTTTGCCCAGTGTCTTGAGAGCTTAGAACTCGGCCATTTACTGTTTTGACCAATATCTTGCGCCACGGAGGTGCAACTTTTTGGTTTACCCATCATGGCTCCTTTGACAAGCTCTTGATACAAGGCCGATGGGCGGCCCCTAAGACAGCCAGGATTTTTCTCAATGATGGCCTGGCGCAACGCAACTTGCCGATATGCCGAATTCAACTTTGAAGCGATATGCACAGCTTTTTCGTGACAGCCCAATCCTTGAGCCTGGAAGGCCAGCTTCCAGTTCAGGGGGACGTGGAAAGAGGAGTGGTGGAAAGTTTTGAACTTGAGATGTGGTCGAGACCTAGAACAGGGCAACGTCCTTTGAAACAACTGTTTTAAGTGACTGGCGTGAGTCCTTGTGGTTTCCCTCTCTCTGCGTTCGAGCCCAGGGAGCTCCGGTTTAGCGAGGGGTCAGGCTGTCGGGGCCCCGAGAGGTAAGTAGATCGGGTTGGAATGTTGTTGCTATATTGGACCAAACCACTGCAACGCAGAGAAAAGCTGGAGGTCGTGTTTAGATATAGATACCAATCCGTTTGGTGTTTTTTCTTTGTCAGTTTGCCTGTTGCCTCTCTCTCAAAAACTGCAACAAATGCACTCTCACCGTGCCCAACTAGGAAGCAGGAAATCACCCTACCGGTTTCCTACCAAGTTTTCCTGGTACATCTCGCATGTGTTTCTAGGCTGCCTGCGCTCATGAAGAAAATTGATTTATATAACCGTCGCAGATATACGATTCTTTATCAATCTCTTTGGTGTGTTTCTTTCCTTTGCCAATTTGCTTGGTTCCTTATATCGGGCCTACATAAAAATCCGATTTCGATCTGGAACCCAATCCCAAAGATCTGAGTTCTTGTTGACGCGCTGCCCACCCTCTCCCTTGATTATTGGACATTCCTTCTGGTAGGGCTTGGCCTCTCAACAGTAGAACTTACTCCAACTCAAAGGTTCTAAATTTTATCATTGAACCATTGACTTTGAGCCGTTGCCTTTCTCACTTCAACTTCCCTGCGTGATTATTTTGATGTTGAGCAAGAAGGTCAGCAAGTCTTTTCTACCATGATCATGTTTGATCTTTAGCCATTGCCTTTCCCACCTCGCTTTCCTAGCGTAAAATTTCTCATTTGGAACCAGAAGTTCAGCAAGCCTTTCCAGAAGTCCAGCGTGCCCTTCCATCAAGATCATGTTTGATCTCGAACCAAAACCTTTTCCACCTCAATTTCCAGCATGATCATTCTTGATGTTGAGCAAGGAGTTCAGTGTGCCACCAACAACACTTTTTGGAAAAAAAACTCAGCATACGGTTCTGCCATGATCATGTACCCTATTAATTTTTTGATGTTGAACAAGAAGGTCAGCATACCTTTCTACCATGATCATGCTTGATCTTGAGCTATGTTTCTTCCCAGTTTTGTCCTCATTCCTTCATTTCTAGCGGCCAGTCTGCGCATGTGCCTCGTTTTCTGAAATCGGAGGAGGTCTTGTAAGTGCTCCTGCTGCGAAACGCCTTGGCAGGGGTGCGCGATGTGAATCTTGAGGCGCAGATTTCGTGGCAGGCGCAGCATTTTGTGGACCTTGAGAGATCTTGAGAGGTGCAAACTTTGTGGCAGGAGGAGCACCTTGTGAACTTCGTGGCAGGCGCAGCAGTTTTGAAGCGCTTCACCACCACCACCACCGCCGCCGCCGCCACCGCCACCGACCACCACCACCACCACCACCATCACCACCACCACCACCACCACCATCACCACGCTGTCGCAACAGAAACCTACCTCGATGACCAAGGTCATCCTGCAGTATTTGGATGGAGGGGTATCAGGAGGCACCCGTGACCGAATCTTTGAACCCATGTATAGGAGGATCGAGGAGGGGGCTGCGCGAAGTGCAGGAGGTTATCGCGGATCTGTCCCTGATGACTTGTCACCTGTTCAAAACGGCCAGAAAGATGAGGAGTGTGCCCACATCGTAGTGGGAATGCGATCCTATACCGCGACAGCTACGTGTCCGAAATAAACGACCTTTGTTACCGCCCATAGATCACGCATCGGGACTCCATAGACTGGCGAAGCTGCATAGACATGCAGGTCCTGATGCCGCTATGGAAGATGGGGGGCATGGAATATATCTTGGACAATCTTGGACACAACATAGTTTTTGCCCAAACCATCTGAAGATATCTGAAGGCGAAGGAGGGTCAATGGGTGTGGGCATTTGTGCCCAAAGGTAACCTGAAAGGGCAATGGCCGCCAAGAGGGTCTGCGGGAAAAGGGAAGGAGAGGGTGGTGGATGACGACATCAATACCGACGCATCCTATCGCCACAATATCTTCTTGCATTTCCATCCTTCAACCTATCAAGTCACGGCAGATAGGGCGCACATCTATGACATGTCTGAGGAGGATACAGAGAATCTACGTGGCCCCGAACCCAGCAACGGCCACCCATGGGTCATCACTTTCACTACCATCACCACCATCACCTCTCTCTGGAACCCAGTACGTCTAGATCTCTAGACCTTCTGCTTCTACACCTTTTGACCGTAGACCTTTAGACGCACTATTTGTGGTCTTTTGCCGGGATATGAAATATTTTTTTTGTGTTCTGTTTCAGAATCATGCAAAAGCAGTTAATTTGAAACCAGGGTGGCGCTGCAGAAGTGCAGCGACGTGACATATCCTTTGCATGGTGCGAACCGTGTTTTTATGCGGGCTGTCGTTTTCTCATGCACTTAATGATGTCCAATCCAATCGTTGACTTGTTTGACAGAGTGAGATCTAAACTCGAATTCAAGTTCATCCTTCACATTTGGGCAAAATTCCGCTGGCCACCACGTTCGCCGAGGTATAAAATTGAACATGCGGTCGGTGCGGGGCATTTTACCCGCGCATATTTAGCCACCGACCTGGAGACGAATACCAAGGCGGGCAGCGATACCACGGGTCTCCTGTTGCATCGCCGACGGTGAGGTAGTCAGTGCATGAAATGCTGTCCACAAAGCCTTAAATGCTGTATATGTATGACATATGTGACATATGACATATGTATGGAACCTGCATTGGAGTTGTCGGAGTTGTTTCAGGGATCACGTGTATAGTCCATACTATGAGTTATTTGCTGTTACAGTTGCGATTTCCTTCTTGAGCACCCTTCCACTCAGAATGTCGGACCTGCATTCCGCAACTTGAACCTTCTAGGACTGGTGAGGGAAGGCAGATCCAGCCCATGTGCCACCGAGTTCATTGTAGGGGTTGTGTGACATTCATCGTCAATCACAGTGGATTTCTGTCATGCTGAGACCACCGTTGTGTCCCTTGTCTCACGCAGATCGGATCGGGAACGGGAGAAGAGAAGACAGCATTCGGACCCTCAGTCCTTATGGATCCAGTGGCACCTGACAGAGGTACGGTGAGCAGGAACATGATTTCTGTGGGCTCCATCAGGAGGGCCCAGTCGTACCGAACCTGAGAAGGTGGATTCGTGGATCCCCGAAAATTAGACACCTGCCAGGTTCACTTCCCAGGTTCGGAGAGCGTTTCAGCGCGATGCTGTTCCGGCTGAGTCACATGTGCCACATGTGTGTCGGTGGATCCATATAGGGGCTATATGCCATACACGGAGTGTTTGGGAAATACTCAGAACATCTTAAATCACTACCAGGCCCTTCCAAATAGCCTTTGTAAAGAGGTTGAGGATGTTAAGGCTGTTAAGGGCTGTCCAAGAACGGGCCCTCCGTTCACGTGGCTGGTCGAGCGAAAAAGCAGCTCGAGGCACGTCTTCCAGTCCCATGGATTGTTCCGGTCCAGCCAGAGGTTGGTCTGGACCCGAACTAGACCATCCCAGTTGGGTACTGTACCGGTGATGGGTCCATAAGGTCACTGATAAAACCTCTCTTGGAGTGTTTTGTCCACCTCTTCACCAATCAAGAACTGGTGGACAAAACAAGTCGCCCGACTCTGGGGGACGGAGCCCATCGGACCCACCCCATTGACGGAGCCGCGGCTGATGGACCGATGGCCGCGCCGATGGAGGTGTGTATTAAGCGCCACGGTGGTCTCACAGTTGAACTGATGACAGTTTCACAGCTGCAGTGGAGGATGTGTGGAGGATGGGTGGGTGGAGAGACTCCCAGTTCTTGAGAAAGATCGATTTGACACCGAGGCAGACTGAAGATGGCTGGAGGTTTTTCTATATGTTGCTAGATGGATTTTTTCTAGGTAGCTTCAAAGGCTGCTGGTGCTATGGAGGGCATGAGGTTTGGAGGATTTCTCTACTTCAGGGCCGAGGGCCTGGCACCCTCCCAAAGAACCAGCGGTTTTCACTCTACAACTTAAAAGCAGGTCAACCATTTTATGTAATGGACTCCGAAGGCTAGGCTATGTCTTGCGCTCCAAAAACGCCAGAGTGATCGGTCAAGCACTGCAGAAAACCACGTGGTGCAGAGGTCGATGGGTGTCGGGAGGTGGGATTCAGCCGCGAAAACCAGGCAGCCCGAACCCCAGGATTCCAAGTCATGATTCAGAATAGCTGACTGCCGAACTACTATAAGCTATTCTATGCTATTCTACTATAGTTTTACACTATACCAGGTCTGTCCCAAGCTCTTTTGATGCTCAAAGGGTTTCTGCAAATGGGACAATGCCACCCCAAATCGGTCCGTTTTGCTCGTCCCAAAGACGTACGGAGTGTGAGACTTGAACAAAAGCGAAGAGACAGGAGTTCCAGTTCATATGCCCTAGGGCTCCAAGTACCTTCTGAGAAGGTGTTTGGGGTGGGTTTGGAGGGTCCAAACACCTTCTGAGGAGGTACTTGGAGCCCTAGGGATGGTCTTTTCCTGGCGCCATGCAAATCCGGTGATTCTGATTGTCCCTCATTTCCGGTAAATGTCACCCTTCTGGGGAATGTTCTATAAAAATTCCTGTATTCCTTGACAGTAAATCTAAGTCTTACTGCATGGTTGACTTGTATAATATTCCTTTTACATGTGGGAACCCTTCTCTCGCGTGACAACCTGATTGGCCGGAATGTGGGAACTGTGCTTCGCCGCACCTGTTCGACCTTCGCAAGAGAGGCTTCGACCTGTAGTGACGTAGTGAATTCCTCAGGAACAGCTGAAGGCTAGGTACGGCTCGACGGACGGCTGGCAGAAGGTCAAAATGAAAGGGTATAGAACCGCTGGCGTTTTTTCGGGTCAAAGCGCGATGGAACTCATAATGGGATCCTTGGGGGACTCACGCTTCCGACGCCGCTGCGGGGTCCACGCCGCCTTCGCCGCTTCGCTCGCTCGCTGAGGACTTGTTGACGATCAGCAGGAGAGTTGAATCAGTTGACCCTGAAGGCCAGTGCTTCTCCAGGCGAGGCGTGCTTCAACCGCTTCGGTGCTTCTCCCGTCGAAGCGAGTCCCGGGTGGTCGGTTCACGGGCTGATCATATATGTGTTCCTTTTTTAACCATGCTTTAGAACAGAAGCAGCTGTTTTATAGTACTTCTGGGGATGTTGATATGCGGGAGAAAGAACCAAATACAGGTCCATCGGACCTCTTTGAATGAATTTGAATGGTCTGCTCAAACAAGGCTTGGGGCTTGGACTGGTTTTCAAAGACCGCCTACCGTGGCAGGGGCGTCGTCCATTGAGTTGCCGGGACCGGAGACCACCAACAGAACAGCGGAGACCACACATCACCGAACCTGAGGTTCGGTACGACTGGATCCCTAGGGAAAGTTCAGGGGTCATCTGGATCATTCTACCCTCAGACTCCGAATGCCCCGCAATGGGAAGGGGTTCCCCCCTGCGTTTCGAGGTCGGGTCTAGAGTCGGATTCTTGGGGGAAAACATCCTTTATTCACCCTAGCCTTCCAAGAACATTCTTAAATGGTTGACCTGGTGTTGTAGTGTAACGTCCTGTAGTGTAACATCCTGGTGTTGAAAAGATGATTCATAAAGACCATTGTGTTAAATGGTTGTTGGAAGCCTAGAGTTCACTCCTTCAACCCTAGTTACTTCCCCTGAAAAAAAACCTTTTAGTGCCTAACCTCAGGTTCGGTGATGTGTTCGACACTGTTATGTATGTTGGGGTTTGTAGGGTCCAGTCGTACCGAACCTGAGAAGGTACGACTGGATCATGCTAGACCACCATCCGTGGCGCCCCCGATTTCAATGTTGTATCAAGTGAAAGGACCTTCTTCTTCTTCTTCACGATTTCCCAATAATTGAATTTGGAGGACGGCGCAAGAGTTCAGGTTCTTGTTTCGATCTCATCATGCATGGCTTCTTCCACCACCGGGGTCTGATCCACAGGGGGGGATCTGATCCGCCCCGCTCCCCGCGGCGCGGGGCGCGGGGCGGAGCAAGCATCCGCCGCACCCATCCAGGTTGATCGAGGCGTTCTTCGACATGGCTCCTCGGTTGGACCCCACAGCCTACGATTCCTGGCCCACCCAAAGCAGGCCGACCGGTCCCTCAAAACCCTCAAGAGACCCCTCCATATTGAAGGTCCGGCACCTACTCCATGGGCACCATGGTTTTCATGGTCTTGACCATAGATTGTTTTGCTAAGGATGTTACAATGTTACACTTTTGAAACCAGGTTCAAGTTTTCTTTTGATGGTTTGGGAAGGCTAAGCAGGTGATTTGGTTAGAATTTCCCAACATGAAACAAAAACATATCTCTTGGATGTTTAAGTGGTGCCCATGGCCTCTCTTGAGTCCTGCCCGCTTACTGTAAGAGTCCACTCAACTCCGTGTTTCAAGAATGGTTTGACTAGGTGCCCTGAGTCCAGGAATTTCCTGTACTTCGAAGGTGCCAAATATCGTGGAACTGGACTTCTGTTTTTCCATTGTTTTTCGTGTATACAGTATCTTATACATTCTTATATAGCAATACCATGTTTGCCGGAGGCATGGTTCAGTGAGCAGACATCCATGTTCAGTAAAAAAGACACGAACCATGCCGTCTTTGATGGGTTGGCGTTATTACATGGCTTCACATCCACCTTGCATCGGCCACTCCACCTCCGCCATCGGCCGTCGCCAAGGTGGGCTACACCGTCGAGACGCTGTTTGAAGGTCGGAATTGCATGGCTCCTTGGCCTGAGCCGAGCCGGATCCGAGGATGTATGGGCGAACAACAAGAACTGTCCTAATCAAAATTCCAGCACCCTCCAACAGGCCTCCTTTGGAGGATTGTAAGGCCCCAAGAGGTTTCAATTGGTAACCTGGCAGGTTTCGGCTGCTGGTACTGTAGGTGTTTGGGGGGGATTGGGACACCCTACGACTAGACATGAGCAGGTGGGAACATTTTGGACAAACTCCCTGGTCGTCGGCTCGAGTTGTTGCCACTTCTGGGGAGTGAAAGGGCAGGATTTGGCGCTATCTACTTTGGCCTTCAAGAGAGGGTGAGTAGGTTTGCAGGGCATGTAGTTATTGCATGTTGTTGCCTTTTGCTAGTGAGGGGTGGGTATCCCGATTTGATGTGTATAGCAAGTTGCCTGCCAGTCGGTCATTACTAGAGAGTCACTAGAGAGTACAAAGAGACCCACATGGGTTCAGATCCGATTCCTCTTTGATGCAATTGGGGTGCCTTGTAGGCTTTGAAGAGGATGAAGAAAGGCAGATAAAGACAGACACCCAAATTGTTGGAGGTGAGTTTGTGTTGAACCCGTTCCCCTGCACCACAAGAGGGCTATCGAAGCTAATACCGCAGGATTTGATCCTTACGCAGGATGGTGTTGAGATTCTTTATCAGCCGTATCACACCAGAACCAAACTGGGGGTTTGGGTCTATACATCCAACACACCTGCACAGTTCAACTGCCGTTGGTCTTCCCATTCTCAATGAATCCTAAGGATCCCAAGCTTGGACCATCTGCCAGTTCCCAAAGGTTCAAGGGGGTGGATCCCTAGGGCTCCTGGCCCATATCCTCAGGTTCAGGTGCTTGGACCGTTGGACCCCCCTGGCACCCTGGCCCACCCCAACCACCGAACCGCAACGGCGGTGGGTTGGTTGGAGCTCTATAGGGGATATACGGTGCCCCTGTCACATCTAATTAACTATACTGGTTGGGTCTAAAAAGAAAATACCGTTTGGTCTTCCTCGACTGTCTGGCCATGCTGCCGTGCTGTTCTGTGCGCTTAGCATGTGGGTGTGATGAAACATAGGGAGACATCTCAGACAACGACCCCATGGGGAGCCCACAAATCCGGCTGAAGGACCACTGAGAAGGAAGCTGGAAGGGACTTTTGAGCACCGAAGAAGGTCCGGTCATTAGAACAGCCTATACATGCCTTCTTGATCCGAGCCAATCCAGCGATTTCTGGGGTCTGCAGAGCCCGGGATCGGATGTCTTGACAGATGGCCCTGGCATCTCAGGAGATCTGCCGAAGCAATCCTCTGCATTTCAAAGACCTGAAGAACCTCCGCCGCTTGGACGGCGAAGGTGGACAGAGGGTAGAGGGTAGCACCTCACGGAGGCGGACGTGGAGGCTACAGAGTAAACCCCCCAGGATGTGGATTGAAGAAGCAGTTGGTTGAAGGCTGGTGGTTTGAAACATCAAGCGTCTACTCTCTAGGGCTACCCTAGAAGTCCAAATACGCCATTTTGCACCAAGGAAGAGTAGTAAAGGAAAACTTCTTCTTTCGGATCGCCAAATCACCTAGAAAGACCGATATAGCCCCTGGAAATCACACTTTTAAAATGGTCTTTAGCCTAAAGACCATTTTTTTACAGTGAGTTCCATGGTCTAAACAATGTGGGGCTACCAATACAGGGTGGAGGCTGGCAGCGGCTTACCGGCCTAGGCCGGTAAGTCGGATCTTCAAGGATTCGCAGGTCTTTCTGCGCAGGTGGTGGTTAACCTACCATAAGGTCCAGGTGGTTGATTCGCAGGTGGTTTCAGATAATTCCTTCTATTTTTTCAACCTATAGGGTCCAGGTGCCTCCTTTTTGGATGGTCTTGGAGATGATGAAAGTAATTACTTCCAGAGAATGGTCGATCTGGGACAAAAATGCACATCCGATTCGGATGGTCCTGGACCCTTTACAAGCAAGGATGATGGATCCCATTGACTGATCATGGTTGTTCAAGTGCATGAGTCCATGAGTTGAAACCACCAACCAGCCTTCTTTTCTTCGGGTCAAGGACCAAGTGAGGTTTGGCATCCGCCACCTAGCCAGGACTCCAGGAGCTATATGGTCATCATATTGCATGTGCTGTTTCACAATGTTTCATATGATGAAGGGTGGTCAATTCCCATAGCCCAGCACGGCATGGCGTATAGTTTCTTTGGAAAGCAAAGGATACCATCAGAGCGACTGTCAGGTGGCCTATATCCACATATTCCATATATATTTAAATCCCATATATATATTATTAATGATAAGTTCACTGAAACAAAGACGTTCACCCCGGCGTAACTACTGACCAAATAAACACCTGCGACTTTTGCTAGTACAATGTTCTTCAGAGAACCAGGGGCTTTTGCTCCTTTGCGAGAACCTCTATAATTATCCAACGTTGAACATGCTGTTTGACGAACCAAAACTCCGTGCAACACCCAGCTTCTTCGCAGTGACCGGCGACATATATTCCCTACCTGGATCTTCCAAATAGGCGCCCCGCAACGCGGCGAATGTCTTCCAGGTACCGTTGCGGTGGGCTGCCTTCGCGGCCTGTCCCTCTTATGCGATGCGGGTGTGGTGCATTGCGACATGAAGGCTGCCTTCGCGGCATCGAGCGAGCCTTCTGCCCCTTGGGGTCCCGCGCATTCTCTTCTTGGAGGGGCATGTGTTTAGTTTCTATTTTTTTGGGGGGGGTTGTTTTCAGCAGATGCCGCTTTTGCTTTTCTCTTTATTGCGAGCCCCAAGGAGTTCTTTAGACACATACTATAGACTAACACAAAAAAGTGCGTACAAATTAAAAAATTCACCACTTTTTACTGTAGCGCGCAAATGTTTAACAATTAGAATGGTTCACGTGGAAGTGGAAAACCACCTGTTTGTTGCCATCCAAGGGGCCATTTGCCACTTGTTTCTGAGAGTGTATGTACCGAAAGGTAAAGATGTTGGTGAAGGGTTCCGCCAAGTTAGACGATGTTTGGACTGGGTCGAAGATCATGAGTGATAGACTCATAGACTCATAGACCTTCTATACCAGGACCTTCCAACAGTGTAACAGGTGGTGTTAGGACCCTAAGAGGTGGTTTCTGGACACCTGTTGTCCCCAAAAAGCACCTGTTGGAGGGTCCAGGTACGGAAGTACCCAGCAGGGCCCTTCCGCACATGAACTCATGCAGCCTGCACCGTGCTTTGGAGCGCCACGCCGCACAGCTCGCCGCTGCGTCGCGCGCTGCTCGATGCACGCGCAGGCGGACAACTTCATGTGGACGAAGGGAACTGACGGCTCCACCGTGGTGCGCTTAGTGGACTTCGGCTGCTTGGTGCGCAGCGAGTGGACGGACGTCTCCCCGAAGCGGCCGGACTTGCGCAGTGGCAGGATTGACCGAATACCAGCACCCGAGGGTGCCCAGAAACCACCTGTTAGGGTCTCCAAACAGCCTGTTGGGGTCCTGGCACTGGTACCTATCCTATATAGGGACCTAGGAAGGTACCTTCGCAGGTTCGGTGTGATTGGACCCTCCTTGGCGGTTACAATAAGCAGTGTCTCCCTGCTCACCGTACCTGAGAAGGTACGAGTGGATTGCTAGGGATTGACCTACCCTCACCGTACCTGGGCTCCAACCTCCAAGGGGAAGGGAGGTCAATCGGTGTGCCGTTCACAGGTTCAGCACCCGGACACTCTATGGCAGGGCATTACTGAGGTGGTTGAAACGGGGTCAAGGGACATATGCATGCCATACATGGAGTGGTTTGGTGTGTGGGATAGGCGCCTCCAAAAGGGACTTTAAACAAACAGATGTCAAAAGTAACTCTTCCATCGTTGGTCTGGGCAGAAACTGGTTTTCTGCACAGAGGGACGGACGAACGGCTTCCGGCACGCGCCGAGGCTGCAGTCGATTGGATAGTCGTTTGGAGAATGGCCGGAACTGGGCCTTCGCAGAGGGCGGAGCAGGACGATGGGCGGACGATGGGACACATTTTTTGGGTTCGGTCTCGGCGGCGGCCGTTTCTTTTTATTTTTCGGTTCAGGGTTTGGGACTTATATGACTTCATATCAGTCCCCAGCAATCCATGTCATGTATGGAATGTTTGCCTCATTTGGGTGATTCTATAAGAGAGATGTTTTAAGGGTCCTTTTAAAAGTATTTCCAGTCCATGGATGGTGTGGGCTAAACTCCATCGTCCAAGCTGACTCGTCAGCAAGTACGACTCGCGTGCCGGGATGTAGCGACGAGATCGCAGCTGAGGACGAAGCCAGTGATAGGACGGAGCCAGAGCTGGTTTGACTGCTGGACCCCACCAGCTGGACCCCTTAGACTTATCGCTGAAGTGGCTGCCGGCCTCGTGGATCCCTAAGACATCGTTCAACCTTCCGCGTTGGGGGCCGCAGGCTGGTCCGGAAATGGGGTGTCTCACCAGTCCCAGACACTCTGTGGATTCCGTGGATATTTAAACATCGACCCCGTTTCAACCACCTCAATGTATATAGGTAAATATTCCAAACCCTGCAGGACCTTCCAACAGGTCCGGTGGTTTTTTGACCACTAAGAACGTTATATTATACGTTATATATGTTTAACACAATATCAGAAACCAGAGTGTTTGGGATAGGTTTGGAGGGACCGGGAGGTCGGGCATGGTGTCTGGCCATTGGGCAGGACACATCGGCAAGTGGGCTCCCGAAATGATGTGCCTGGGCGGTGAGCGGGGATTCGGACTCTGCCGGGCTCTTCCGCATTTGCTGGCGGACCCGTCCCGAGTTCGAAGTCACACGGGTTTTGTGGGTTCATGTTGGTGCTTTTAACAGCTGGTTCTGAACGGGATTCAGGCTAGATCAACAGTGGGCGACTGGAAGCCTAGGAAAACGTTTGTGCCATTTGCGGGGTTGCATGGTTTTGAGGAATGAGGCCCCATCTCAAAGGCTCCACCTGGAATGGCGAGACCGTGACCTGCTCCTCATAGGCATAGTCTCAGCAACGTTTGTGCTTAGGGGAAGGGGTGCGAAAGACAGCATACTATCACTTACTGTATGTTGTGTCACTTGCTACGTACGTTAGGCGGACATAGATGCTCCCACATCATATTGGGGATGAAGTATTACCCCGACTCCTACGTGTCATCAACTGGAGAAGCATTCGTGACCATTATAGGGGATATTTAAGGGCTTACGCGGACGGTAGAGGGGATAGAGGCAAAAGACATGAGGCGACGGGGTCGGATTGTTGTCTGTTGTGGCTGGAATTGTGGGGAGAAGGAGATCTTGGCAGAGGCCTTCTTGGCGTCTGAGTTGGCGCGGTGCCGCCAATGGAAGCCGTGTTTGTTGGTGCTTTCAGCCCACTCGTCGCAGAAGTTGCATTGGAAGACAGTTGCCACCAGCCTCGCTCTAGCGCCGAAGGTGTTGCTGCAAACCAAGAAAGAGGATTTTCCGCCGGCGCAGGAAAACGTGGCCGAGTTCGCTGGGGAATGGACTTGAGAGTTCGTGGGGGACGCTGGCTGCAAAGAGGATTTGATGAGGCTGGGAGGCGCTCCGTTGCTAGCACGGTGCGAGAGTTACCAGCGAGCCAGCCACCGAGCAGACATGTGGAGGTACGTGCGACTGCATCGTGTGGGAGGATATTACTTGGACATCGTGCAGTCCGTGCTGGGACCGCGCCTAGAAAGCCAGCCTCATTTGATCATGAGCAGGGGCCCCAACCAGCATCACACCGTCGTTACATGGGATTTTTAGCGGGCAGTGGATCTCCAGGTTGACTTTGTTGGAGAGTTCTCTGCCTGGCTTTCTGCGTGTCGTGCAGGAGGTCGTGAACAGCGACAAGAAGCAGCGTTTTCAAATGCAGGCGGATGAGGTGCAGGACGGGTAGCATGTAGTGGGTCCGTGCTATCGTTACATCCCCTTTTTTCCGGAACAGGTTCCCTGCGCAAATCCAAGCCTTGGACTTGGAGACTGAGCCATCAACTCAGGTCAACACTTTGGATTTGGACCTGAATGAGCGTGCCTCCATCACCTGAAGAAGGGCTGGACACTGCCTTCTGGCACTGGGCATATTCTGAGCAGCCGGGAACAGCTGTTGTCGCTGTCCTCACCGACCTCAACCTTCACCGCTTCCAACTCCACCAAACCTTACAAACCTTCCACACACTTCAGGATACACCACTTTGGCACGACCCTTTCCAACAGAACCTTCCCACTCCCCTCAACCAACTTTTCACCCGATTCCACACACACATGAATGTCGCTGAGACACAGGTGCGGAGGGCCCTTGACATCCTTGACAACATCGGACGCTACCCAGCAAGGGCCTACCTCAGGGATCCCAACATTGATCCCGAACAACAACCTGCTGTACCAGGGCAACATCCCCGCTTGCAGCCCGAACCATCCCTTGCTGACGCGTGCGCTGGCAGACACCATGTGCACCTCGCAACCACAGTTGCGAAAGCGATACCTGAAGTTCTGCGAGTTTTGTGGCAGGAGATGGCCTCAGATTTGGGGCACCTTCCATCCCTCGGTTGGAACTTTTGTTCGCGGCTGGGGCCAATCTATCTCTTGGAAGAGAAGTTGGTCAAGGAAGGAAGCAAGAAGGTGGAGATGGCAGTCACCGCCACGGGCAAGGAGGTGCCGGTGGATGGGCATTTCATGTTTTTGGAAGGGTCGCGCACGCGTTACGCAGCAACGAGAGCGCAACAACTCCACAAAGTACTCCGCCTGCCTCGTCAAAATCTGCACGCCAAGGTCCACAAAGTACTGCACCTGCCACGAAATGTGCACTTCAAGGTCCGCAGTACTGCGGCTGCCATGAAAACTGCACTTCAAGGCCCAACAAGTACTACACCTGCCACGAAGTTTGCACATCAAGGTCCACAAAGTACTGCGCCTGCCACGAAATCTTCACTTCAAGGTCCACAAAGTACTGCACCTGCCACAAAATCCATACTTCAATGCCCACGAAGGACTGCGCTTGCCACGGAATTTGCACTTCGAGGTCCACAAAGTACTGCACCTTTCACGAAATTTGCACTTCAAGGTCCACAAAGAACTGCACCCGCCACGAAATGTGCGCTTCAAGGTCCACAAAGTACTGGACCTGCCACGAAAACTGCGCGTCAAGGCCGACAAAGTATACACCTGCCACGAAGTTTGCACTTCAAGCTACACAAAGTATCGAAGGCTCTAATGTACTTCTCTGGAGCAGTCCCAATACGTAGAGTGAGGACGCATACCATATCGTGTAGGAGGTTCATGTAGTGTGCTGACACTCTACGGCATCTCGGGTAGAAGAGCTGTACGTATGACTCGTGCAAGACAGACCTGTGCTCCGGAGAAAGTTCTTCATCGTAGTCCGCAATGTAGGCTATAATGATGTCCACAACCTTCTCGGGAACCCCGTACTCCAGCACCAATCTTTGAACTCTATCTTCTGCGGGAATTGGATCAGGCAGATCTCGTGACCTCGTCAGGCGGGGCATCTCCTGCAGATCAGATATGTCATATATTCTGTCGTAGTGTTGCAGCACTGCACCGTGGTAGTTGTTGATGCTATCGAAATCCTCGGGATCGAATGCCCTTCTCGGAAGTACGTTGGCAGGCATCCCCTGCAGCATGCAGACTGCCGGTGCCCTCATCGGGCTCGTTTCTGTACGAAGCCATCTCAAGTAGCCCCAATGCATGCGTGCCTAGCCACATGTGCTGATATGCGGTCCAGCTCGTACTCTACACATTCGCAAGGCTGCTTTGTTCGTGGCAAACTCTGCTGTATGGGCTTGTTCTGTAGTTCTTGCCTGCTCACTATGGTGCACCATCGTGGGTCACACTCTGCAAGTCCTGATATAGTGGCACGTATGGCTACCTTCTGACAGTTGCTTAGGCCGTGTCCATTATTGATCACGGATTCCTTCATCTGTGCCACACTCTCATGGTTGCTTTCTGCCCTTACTCCAACTGACACTGAAACAAGATGTCATTAGAATGACAGTGACTTGCATTGAGCCAACACCAGTTGACAAACAGGTTGTGTTCTTAGATGATTGCCAAGCGCATCCAACCCTCGCGAAGCTTGGCGGCGTGGATTGGGCAACAGTGCTGTGTGACAGCTTGAAAGCAGTGCTGGAATGCTGTTTGGCTTGAGGCTTCTTGTGGTCCACGTTCGTGAGGCTGCGGCCATGGCTATTGTAGATGGAAATCACGAGGACAGCGCCCTTCTTGCAACTTGTGGGGCTGTCAACTGGATGTGCCAGGAGTTCCGATGGTATGAAATGGCCCCGCTGGCTGGCACTTGGTATGGAGTTTTTCCATACCGTCCGGTTTTTGCATTGTCACCCTTGCGCTTTGAGCTGAGTGGCTTGGTGCTTGAGCAGCCGCAGCCTTCAGACATTAGGATGTTCCAGTTGCCTGAGCCTGCTGTACCGCAAAGGCCGTAGCGATCATGTGAAATACATGGGTGTTCACGTTGCATCCCTCTGTGAGATCCTTGAGAAGTTTCTCCTTAGCCTTGCGGTTCAAAAGGCAGGACGTCTGTGTTATCCCATAGATGCGATGGCTGGTGTTGTATTTTGTGGACCTTGTGAGGTGCAAATTTCGTGGCAGGTGCAATACTTTGTGGACCTTGAAGTGCAGATTTCATGGCAGGCGCGGTGCAGTACTTTGTGGACTTCCCAGCTTGCGAACCCCCCATCCACCACCATCACCACCATCAGCACCCACCACCATCACCATCACCACCACCATCACCAGGATCTCCACCTTCATCACCACCATCACCTCTCTGGACCCCAATGCGTCTAGATCTCTAGACTTTCTGCTGCACCTTCAGACCTCAAACGCACTGTTTGGGGTCTCTTGCCGGGATAGTTTGTATTTTCTATCCCTATAAACGGTGACTCCCCATGAGTGGGGAACATATGTTTTGTGTCTTGTCCTCAGCTTCAGAAGCCAGCAGCAAAAAGACAAGGTAGCGGCGTCGTTATTGCCCCCGCTGTTCTTTAGTATTCCAAACATGAAACTCCACGCAAACGATGTTTTTAATGGTTTGCGAGCTGCGTTTTGACTGATATTTGCAGGAAAACGAACAATTTGGTAAGAATTCCATTGTGTAAAATGTTTCGGTCCGAAAAAACAAAATTGGTCACCAACATAAATGGCTGCAGAGCTACATGCAACACTTCAAGAAGCAGCGAATCAGCGGTGGAACTTTCACTCCGGATTTTCAACAAACTATCAAGATACCACGGGTCTACGTCAATGATTCGGGGAGCATGACTTCACTGGTCATTCGACACAGTGCTTTGATTCACGACCTGCTTCTGCTTTTGTATTTTCTCCATAGCAATGGATCTGTACCTCCTGCCCTCGGAGCACCGTCCCGCTCAATTGAGCGGCATGCGCCGGTGCTACATCTTCAAGTTCCAAGACCACAATGCCCCGACGAGGATGGGGGAATGGATCTACCTGCATCAACAAGCAGGGGATCCTATCGATGAGGACGGCGAAGGACTCCGGAGGTTGTTCCCAGCAACTGGGCGGATTTCGTTCAGACGAATTACTCGTCGAGGGCATGTGGCGTTTGGAAGCGTGCATGGGGACCTACCAGGTTCACGAGACGGGAATCACGCTGCTCAACTTTGCTTGCTGCATTGGAGCGCGCCTCATTCCAAGGGTGGAGTTCGAGTTTCATGAGCAACACTTGCCTCAC